TGCGCGCGCGTGCGTGCGTGTGTGCGTGTGTGTGTGCGCGCGCGCGCGTGTGTGTGTGTGTGTGTGTGTGTGTGTGTGTGTGTATATATTTGTGTATATTTGTGTAGCGTGGCGACTGGCTACTGATTATAACGCGGCCGTAATATCGATCCTCATGACGGACTTCATGGCCGGCAGAGCTGCTGGAAGCCTCGTCTGTCATTTACTCTGCAAGTGTCAGCGATTGTCAGGCGATGTCAATGCACTGACATCAGCTCGTTATGCCACACTATAGTCGGCATGGACAGCCAGCGCTGGTAGAGTGTCACGACACCGGTAATGTGAATTTGCTATGTGAGAAAATATCTTTCTGTCATTTCCGGAAGATGGTGTTTAAGAATGAGTCCAAGAGATCTCGTTACAAACGGGAACTGCTTCTTTAATAATAAAGAATCGTTGTTAACATTCTATTTTTCTAGTGGAGGAATGTTTTTGGAGGAGTAACGTATTTTTGCTCTAGCAAGATGTTACTGTTGTAGCTATCTGTTCACAATCCCACATCCTAAAAACTTATCCATGTGTAGTTTTTCCTTTAGCCCGTATGAAAACGTTGATCGAGTCTAGAAATGTGTTTATAGTGTATGCACATGGTTCGCACAGTCCTTGAAAAGTTCTTGAATTTGAGGGGAGTCCTTGAAAAGTACTTGAATTTAGTAAATGTTGATTTTGTGCTTGAAAAGTCCTTGAATTTCATGAAAATGACCTTGAATTTTATAAAAATGTCCTTGAATTTTTAGAAAGAATCATTGCCTGTATTAAAAAGAAATTTTGTACCATCAATAATGTGTAAACCTCAATAAAAATTGCGTTAAATGAGCTTAAAAAGCTATAGACATGATAGACAGTTAAATGATGATCACAAATTACAGTAAGTCACTAAAATCAATCAGTAAATCAAGGTATGTTGTAGAAGTGACAGTGTTTAAAAGGGTTTATTAATGTGATCCAGGTAATTTTAGAGGTGACATGCAGTGATTAAGAATGGAGTTATTAAATTAATCTAGGTATGTTTTGTTCTGTGTATGAATTCCGATAAAATGTCTGATAAAATGTCCTTGAATTTCTGATAAAATGTTCTTGAAAAGTCTTTGAAAAGTCTTTGAAAAAAATGTCAGTCCTCCTGTATGAACCATGATGCACACAATATTAAAACACATGTACTTGTTATTGGATCCCGCGCGACGAAGTTGGCGGGGATACTATGGTTTCATGGCTGTCCAGCCGCAGACACTTTCCCTTTTCCGGGGGGTATTTGTCCTGACACCAAATACATGTACTGACGACAGTTTTTTTCATGGTGAAAAAATCTGATAAAAGCAATAGTGTTGAGTAGTTAAAATGATAAAATTTCTGACGGATACAGTACAATTACAATGCTATACAACATGAAGAAAACATATATACACACACACAAAAACTTCAGCATATTCTGTACTAGTAAAGTTATTAAGACAACATGAAGAAAAAATAGATACCAGAATAAAAACTTCAGCAGAGTCTATACAAGTATAGTGATTAAGGTACACTTTAACATCATTTTGGCACTCATACGTACACCATTATATACATATTACACAAACATACGCACACATACACACACTTATATTTATATAAATATGGACATACTGATAAATGCAATAGTGTTGAGCAGTTAAAGTGATAGATTTACAAAACAGTTTAGAGTGATACAGTTACAAAACAGTGCATACAACATGAAGAAAAAATAGAAACCAGAAAAAAACTTTAGCAAAGTCTGTACAAGTAAAGTAATTAAGGTACACCTTAACATCTTTTGACACTCATACATACACCATTATATACATATGACATACATTGCGTGGATAAGCGGAAAACACGCACCGAGCTGCAGAACTTTCACCGGCGTGCAAAACGATTGACGATTCGAGTTCTGTGAACGTTTCGTGCGTCTCTGAGAGTTTGTGTGCGTGTGCAAATTCATTAACAGTCTTTCGAGTGCAATGAATCAATTCTTCGCGCGTGAAAACGGGTCAGAGCAGTGAAAAAATATTGCAGTGAGGTGTTCGACGCAGAGGCGTGCGATAGAAATGCTACATGTATTCATTCTGAAGCACAAATTCCGTTATTTATCATATTTAGGAATAGACTGACTCCAGACGTCCCCGTGGCCAGGCCTACAGTTTACAATCATCAATACGGAGTCAGTCTAGTTGGTGCGATGGACTAATAATCATATAGATCCTTACGCTATGCAGACTTATTGCGCGATCAAATTTGGTAAACTGTTTCGGTAGTCGCACCAAATCATCGTCGCGCGGATCGTTTAGAAATCTCACTAGTCGTCTGACGCTCGCGCTCAACTTCCCGTTTTTCTCACCAGGTGGCGTGCAGTCGGTTCACGAGGACTCGGCGGCGGCGGCGGGGGTGGGGCTGGAGAACAATGCGCCGGAGGTTCCACCGCGCGGCGCGGGGGCGCGGCGGGTGACCAGCGGATTCCGCTCCCTGCAACGCAACATGTCACCAGCAAGCATCGTCGAACATCTCAGTGCCACGCCGTCACCCGCACGATCCGAGAGCGGCCTAGGTAGGTGCATTGTCACACCTGTACTCTCTCTCTTCCTCTCTCTCTCTCGTGCGCTCTCTCTCTCTTTCGCTTCCTCTCTCTCTCGCAGCCGTCGACCGTGCGCTCAGAGAGCAGCCTAGGTAGGTGGATCGCTGCACCTGCTCTCTATCTCTCTTTCTCTTGTTGTTCTATGTTAGTAGAACAAGTCAGAGTTAGCTTGCCTGTTACTCTCCTCATCACTTGAGAGATATATCTACTGCCAGGAGCATCTATATAGGTAGCCTATCATGTACTTTTCTTCTTCAACAATACTCGATCTCACTATATCAGCCCTAACGCTTACTGCATGCGTGTGTGTGTGTGCGTCTACCCGGCAGATGCGTTGGCAGAGGGAGAGGAATCTTCGATGCAGGAATCCCTCGAGCAGAGTCCGTGGTTTCACGGCACGCTGTCGCGCGTAGAGGCAGCGCAGCTCGTCCTACAAACGGGAACGTGTGGACATGGTACCTTCCTCGTTCGACAGAGCGAGACGCGCAAGGGAGAGTACGTTCTGACGTTCAACTTCCAAGGTCGTGCCAAGGTGAGTGATAGAGGGCGCTGTGCGTGTGTCTGGTGGCGGCGAGAGTGAATGTCAAAAAATCTATTACATTGAATGTTGTTACTTATCGTCGTTCGTCATGTGTGAGTACTGGTAGTAGTAGAAATCATTGCTGCCTAGTTTCATTTGACTTATGTACTGAAGTATTGTTGCGGGCTAGGGTTAGGTTAGAGTGTGTGTACGTGAGTGTGTGGTAGGGGGAGGGGTGAGTGAGGGGTGCGTGTGTGTGTGATACGGGGTGAGGGTGCGTGTGTGTGTGATACAGGGGTGAGTGAGGGGTGCGTGTGTGTGATACAGGGGTGAGTGAGGGGTGCGTGTGTGTGTGATACAGGGGTGAGGGTGCGTGTGTGTGTGATACAGGGGTGAGGGAGGGGTGCGTGTGTGTGTGATACAGGGGTGAGTGAGGGGTGCGTGCGTGTGTGTGTGATACAGGGGTGAGTGAGGGGTGCGTGTGTGTGTGATACAGGGGTGAGTGAGGGGTGCGTGTGTGTGTGATACAGGGGTGAGTGAGGGGTGCTTAAAACACATGTACTTGTTATTGTATCCCGCGCGACGAAGTTGGCGGGGATACTATGGTTTCATGGCTGTCCAGCCGCAGACACTTTCCCTTTCGCTCTATAACTCGACCCCTAATTCACCTAGCTTGACCAAACATAGTTTACTTACACATCTTGGAGAGAAGGTGCGCAGCGTACCAAAACCAGGTCACTGCGTCCTTTATTTTACCTTAACCTTGACCTTGATTATATTTCCCTTCCGCTTTATAACTCAGCCCCTGATTGACCTAGCGCGACCAAACTTGGTATACTTACACATCTTGGGGAGAAGGTGGGTCGCGTACCAAAACCACGTCACTGCGGCTATTATTTGACATTGACCTTGACCTTGACCTTCATCATATTTCCCTTCCGCTCTATAACTTGGCCCCTAACTGACCTAGCGCTAGCAAACTTTGTATACTTACACATCTTGGGGAGAAGGTGTGTCGCGTACCAAAACCCCTAAGGCAACCAATTTTACTTGCACATCTCAGGCAGATGAGTTGTGTAACAAACCTTTGTCTTTGTGACTTATTTAACTTTACCTACCTTCTACGTCCTTACAGAGATATTTCATTCTTACTAGATCACGGGGGATACATGTAGTTGGCGACAACTGCCCTTTCTAGTTATATTTGTAATTGTATAGTAATTGTAAAGTTCCTATATTTGGTTATTGGTAGACGCAGCATGCAAAAAATATTACTTTTTTCTAATGACATAAATAAATATGAGTGATTCAGCATTGCACGGCATGAAGTAATTAATTTTCGTACAATGAAGGAATGTACTCATAACGCTAGAAAACCTGCTCTGTCTACATCCGACAAGTGGGTCTGAATATCTGCATGGTTATTGCATTTTCGCTTATTATATAATTCCATCACATTTACCTATCGCTCGTGTAGTTCTGTGTTATTTCGTTTTGTCGTGCAGTCAATGGAACACAAGAGCCTTAATTTCCCCTTCTTGAATTTCTTCCTATTCCTTCGTATACGTGCGTTCTACGGGGGCTAGACCGCTTCTCAGGTTAGGCATTGCTTGTCATTGTGGTGTACTCGTCAATTCTAGGCGGAGAACAACATGGAGTATGTAATCGAGGCACATGATATCAACGATATGCGCGAATGGCTGGCCACTCTACGATACTGCATGAGACCCACCAGCGCAGGCGCTGCCATCAGCCCACGCATGTAAGTATCCGTGTTTACTGCTTATAATAATAATAATAATAATATTTATTGATTTATATTGCGCACGTTACATGCAGATATATTCACGTGCGCATTACAAAGGCTGATTATAAAACAGCGGACTGCAACACTGTAAAATATCCTGCAACAATTCCTGATTATAAATAGCGGACTGCAACACTGTAAAATATAGACCCTAAAAACGACAATAATACAACATTTTCGATAAAATAGAACTCAAATCAAATGTACACCTTATAAGGGGGAGGTGGGGCGTGGTCAGATGTGTGGGTGGGTGGAAGGTTGTTGATTAGAGTCAGAAGTGTAGGTGTATCAACCCACGCATGTCAATTATCCATCTACTACATTCATAAGGGGAGGCGGGGGAGGGTGTGTGATAAGGTGTAAATGAGTGGGTGGAAGGCTGTTAATTAAGAATCAGGAATGTAGGTGTATCAACCCCCGCATATAACTAACTGCTCGGGTGTGTTTGTGGGTAGGGATGAGATAGGATGGTGAAGGCGGCTGGTTCGAGCCAAGGATGAGTATGTGGTTGTTATGATCACAGGATAATATGATTCTGTGTGTTTTACTCTACACACTGAGTTTAACTATAAACGTTCATTGTAACGGTTCTATGTATTCGCCCTACGGCGGTTTTCTATTTAGATATTTTCCCTTGGCTTGTAAATTTTATGTAGGTAATCTCTGGTTGAGATGTTTGCCTTTTCTGTTTGAATACTTGACTGCTGCTGTTGTTGCTGTTGTTGCTGCTGCTGCTGCTGCTGCTGCTGCTGCTTCTGCTGCTGCTGCTGCTGCTGCTGCTGCTGCTGCTGCTGCTGCTGCTGTTGCTGCTGCTGCTGCTGACTACTAGTAATTGAGGCGACCATGTAACTTGTGATTAGCTACATACTATCGTTACGATCAGGAGCGGATGAAAACAAATTATTTTCCATTCATTCATTGCTGTCACAATCATTGCGAGCGTGTGCACGCTGTTTGTCTGTCAGGCCCATCAGATGCGATAATAACAGATTTCCCCTGCAGCAGTGGGCGGGAGCTTTTTCTCTTATCTTGGGAATTACCTAACTAAACAGGGGATTTGGTCGATATTGATGCGTGGGCGTTGATAGTGGCGACGCTATTACGTGAAGATGTCGGTCTTCGCATCCACAGGCACTTGGGACAGAGTCAGTAAAAACTGAAAATAATATGAACGCACATTCACAAATAGGCCCTACTACCGTACCTCTCAATTACAGTTCCACTGTTGTGTCACTATATATTAACTTTCCTTCATAAAAACTAACGCCGAACGCTCCCGCACTCGCCGCAGCGAGTGTGCTGTGTTGCCATGATAATATCAGGAGTAAGATAATATAGCATATATAGATATTATATAATATCCTATATTATCTTACTCCTGATAATATATATAGGCCTATATAAAGTATATATATCTTTATATATATATTATCATTATTATGGCGACACAGCACACTCGCAGCGGCGATGCGGGAGCGTTCGGCGTTAGTTTTTAATTTTTTAGTTTGTGAATGTGCGTTTATATTATTTTCAGTTTTTACTGACTCTGTTCCAAGTGCGTGTGTTCGCATCGATCCTGAGATTATCTCTCCTGCCTCTTCGTGACAATGATAGCTAACAGTCGCTTCACGTCAAGCTAGACTCGTCGCCAACACTTTGAGCTGCGTGTGCGCGTGTCAAACTAGGTGGCAGTGACATTTCGTGACGATACAATCTTAGCGAGAAGCGACGCCGTTACACGCGCACGCTGCGGGTGGCAGGAAATGACAGCCGCAGGTGGTGTAGTGGGGGTGGGAGGGTGTACCGCTGTGGGGGTGGGGAGGGGGTATAAGGAAGGGAGAGAGGGGGAGAAGGAGGCAGATAGGAGGGTGAAATAGAGAGAATCCGGTATGGAGAGATGAAGGGGCGAAAAGAGGAAGACAGTGGGGGGGGGGGCTACGTATACTGCACTCCGACTGTAATATCTCCTCGATAGATAATAAATATACCACCGTCTTATATATAAGGTATGTAATATTTAAATGTTACAGTTTCCTCTTTCCGTAGTTTTTACCGCTTTGCGGTATTAAAACTAGAGTGCAAGGATCTTGTATCTTCAAGGTGTCATATGCTGCCAGCAGCCGGCCTTGACATCTGTGCTGTCGTATATATACTCTGCGTGTTTCTATATTTATAGGCTGTCGTATTCGATTTAGTTGCAAACAGTGTTTATTTACAATTCTGTAATGTGAAATTAAACTAGTAATAGAAGCTTTGCGGGGAGATTGTGACTTTGAAGGAGAAATCGAACTGGCTTTCGCTCTACTGCCAGAATGACAAATGATGGCTTACTGTACAGACAGTCAGTCTCCTTCTAGTTTCTCAAACCAAATTCCTTCCGCGAGCTGGAAAAACAAGACTGACCTTCGTGTGTGTTGGTGGGGGGTGGGGGGTATAGGCCTACCCATTACTATTGCCAACATTAGTACGCCGTATAGCGCATACACACGAATCCATGATTAGTTTATTTTAAGGGTAGCGGAGTAACTGCTAGTGCGACGTAGCTAATTACTAGAGGCAGCTGGACTTTGTATCGGGAAGCTGTTTAGAGTAATTCCGTGTTCGCTATAGCAACGCTGATGAGGCCAAAACAAAATATATGTGTGGTTACCGTTACATGCCGAAACAAAATAGGGTAGGTAGGTAGGGAAAACAATTTATTTTCTTGAAATATTTTATTTACGAACCATGTCCGAAGGATGTGCGTTGTGCCTTTTGAAGCAGAAACTGAAAAAAATTTTAATTAAAAAGTGTTCTCTTGTCGTGCGTGTCAGCTCTATTGAGAATGCCTCACATTCGTAGATTATTCTTGGGTGGCTAAAAATAATTAATAATAATAATAAATAAAAATTAATATTAATTCATGTTACGTGTTACGTTAGTTTTCCGTGCAATTATTAGCATCATCAGCTTAGGATATTACAGGAGGATTTAGAGTTTCCTAAAAATAGTTAATTACTATTGGTCGTGCTGTGGATTTTTCTCCTGAAATAAATGGCAGCTACAATAAATGTCACGTATAACTTGTGACTGCTCAGAAATAACGAGAAACTATGATGAATGGTTTCCTGATAAAAGCTTGACAAGGAACACTAACAGTGGTTTGATGTTGGTTATAATTTTGCGCGGATCTGTTTAATACACACACATCGCACGCACGCACGCA